ATATATATATATATATACACATAAACAAAACTTTAAAACATGGGTTTCAATAGAATCAACATGAACAGTAATGTTCGTCATCGGACGCTGAGTGAGAAGAGAATAGCTGTTTGTTAATCAGGTGCATTTCCTTCCAGTGAAAACTAACCACTAACATCCAGTTGTGTAAACAAGTCAAAAACACAGATTAGACGAAGGGTCAGACAAATGTTACGACCTTTAACTATTGAGATTTTTTCCCGTTGAGGGTTTCCTCCCTGGGTGAGGGGTGGACCTGATCACAGCTCCGTCTGTGTTTGCGCTCCTCAACTGAACCATCATCTCCAATGAGATCGTTTACTCTGAGGAGTTCACTGAGACTCTTGTAGAGAAGAAAGTACAAGGCGTTCATTAAAACAAAATAACCCGGGGATGAAGAAAATCAAGGCATTAAAGCAGCAGGATAAATAAGAGGAGAGGAGAGGAGGAGGAGGACGAGGAGGAGGAGGAGGTGAGGAGCAGAGAGCCTTCAGACATGGAAACAAAGCTGCAGTATGTAGACAAACCATTAATGCAGATCAGCACTGCAATACCATGCACACACACACACACACACACACACACACACACACAGATTCTGCACAGACAGCATAAAAAAAAGATGTTTTAAAAGCAGTCGTATTTTCATATTTCTTTCCCCGCTGTTATAATTTTCCCTGTCAAACAAATCAAAGGCCAAAAACCAGAGTCAGACTCACATTTTCCACTGTCAGCTCCACCAACGGCTGCTTCCACAAACAGGCAGTGTGTGTGTGTGTGTGTGTGTGTGTGTGTGTGAGGAGACCTGACCCTGGCCTCGGTCCCTGTATGTGTGTCTGTGTGTGACTGTACTGGTCACCAACACCTTCTGATGTCCCCCACGACCCCTCACCCTCCTCAACCCCCCTTAACTAATCTGACCTTTAACCCGAACACGTCTGTGTTCAAATGTTTGTCTCTTTAAAAAAAACTGTTGCTGATTTACACAAAACATTTTACAACAATGTTGAAAGTGAAGGAGAAAAATGAATGAAAATGATGTTGATTCATCAGACGTCACAGTCACAGACCAACCATCAGAACAACAGTCTGTGAGTCTGGGGGAGCGGACAGGGGTGTGTGAGCCAGCGGTTACACACACCGTGTCACAGAGGGAAATATCTGTGTGACATACGGACGGCGTGGAGATTCCAGAAAGTTCCATAACCCAAACAGGACTTAGATATTATATAATTATTATATAAAGTAGGATTTAAAAGTTTCATGTTTTTCAATGTTATTTAATATATCATTTTTGACAATCATTTTGTTTTGAGTTTAATTAAATAAACAAATTGTTTTAACTTTTTTTTTTTAATTTGCACAAAAACAATTACATTTTACTATTTTTTTTCTGAATGCAGAAACTGGAAGAGACAAAAACAAACGCTGATTTTTTTCTCTTCTGATGTTGAACATTGAAGTCCGACTTAGTCGAGTCAAGATTTCACTTTATTCATCGCAAGACTTTTCTGAATCTAATCACCCTTTACAATCACACATGACTGTGACACGTGACTAAAATACTAACGTAAAAATGTGAAGTGTTCTCAAACTATGGCTCCCGCTGTCTGTGCAGACCTGTCTTTATATTGTGTCGTGTTTATCTGTCAGGGTCTCCCACCTCTTCTGACTGTCCCGCCGCACGGCTCAGTTTCCTGGGCTCCAAACCGGTGGTCCTCTGAGCGTCATCCATCCTTGGGGGGGTCAAAGGTCAGCAGATTCATCACCACAGTTTGTTCAGAGTCAGACACGCAGAGAGGCTCGGAGGATTAGAGCGGCCGCTCTGTTTACACCTCTGTACATTAGGATCCATCCTGTCATCACCTGCACACACACACACACACACACACACAGACACAGACACAGACACAGACACAGACACAGACACAGACACAGAGAAGTCACATCAGAACCGTCCTGTTTGTTCCCGGGGACAGAACCGATGTCAGACGTCTGGACGACTGTCTTCAACAGCGTCACTGACACCGTCTCAGTGTCAGTCGGGGGTCTGGATCCACAAACACCTGATCCAAAAGAGCAGGTAAACCTGGCGTATCCCCCCCTCCTCCAGCCCCCCCCCTCCACAGTCCATCATATTTTCTCTCCACGATGGGACGGCGCAGCAGAAACCTCTGTGGAGATCCAGGGACTTTTTGTTGTGAAATCTCACAGCGACCCCTTCCACGGCACCGACCCACTCGACTACGCATTG